CCCCCCCACCCCCCGCAAAAGTCTCGGTGAGTCAGCACCGCAGTCTCTCTCCTGTCGGGGAACATATTCCAAGCAGCCAGCCACCAACTTCGGGCCCCCATGTGTGCCCCCCCAACTCCAAAATGGGGAAAGGCTGCCCCACCCCTCCACTCCACTCCACTCCCAGTGAGCCAGCGCCGCAGCCTCTCTCCTGTCGGGGAACATACTTCTGTTCCAAGGGGCCAGCCACCAGCTTTGGCACCACCCCCCCACCCCACCACAAGCGGGAAAAGGCTGACCCCCACCCCGGCACTTACCAGAAGTCTCTGCCGAGGTGCCATGCAGCAGCCCAAACATGTTGCCGCAGGCCTTGCTGATGGCGGCCATCTTGGCGATGATGGGGAGGTTGTGGACCACGAAGGAGACCTCGCTGCGTTGCTGCTTGGCCAGGTTCTGGGCATGGCCCAGGATCCCGAAACCCGTAATATCCGTCGCGGCGTGGGCGTTGAAGGTGTGCATCAGGCCCGCGGCTGCGGACAACGGTTTGGGGTGGGGAAGAGAGACAGGAGAGGAACCGTGAGGGCGAGCGTGCGGCACCAATGACTGAACCCATCCCCCTCCCGACCCAGGACTCCGCTCAGCCCTTCGAGACCACCCCCACCTCCCCGACCCCCGTCCCAGGCATCCCATAAGATGGCAGAGTTAACCAACCAGAATGGGCGAGAGTTAGGAACAGGCCATTCAGCCCCTCCCAGCACCCCCCTTTCCAAAAGGATAGTGAGTGCGATCCCAGGCAGGTAAACAGCTCAATCCTTGCCCTTCGTCCCCACCCGGGGGGATGTCGGACCCTGCGTTCCCGTTGTGGGTGTCAGGGAAGCTATCTGTGGTGTGCCCCCCCACCAGGCCGTGGTACCTGTGCGGTTCAGCCTGGCCATGTTGAACATGGCCTCCTGGTAAGCCAGCTCCACGTCTTCCTGAGACACCACCAGTTTGATCTTGTTCCATTTCTCGGGCTGGGAGCACAACATTGTCGGGGGTTGGGGGGAGAGAGAGATAGAGAGAGACAAACATACGCGTTAGCAATCAGCCCATTCAGCAACTACACCTCCCCTCCCCACCCCCCCCGCCTCCCCGAGCCTGTTACACAGGAATCGGAGGCCATTCAGCCCCCAATTCCTCATGCTCTGCCACTTAATGTCACTTGCCCATATGATGGGACGGCTGTTCTCACACCAGAGGTGGTTAAACCTGTGTCATTATCCAAACACAAGGGCGAAGAGGGAGAGAGGGGGCACAGTTGGGGGTGGGCGGGAGGGAGCACGCGCACGAGAAAACACCAGGCGGAGAAAGAGTGAACAAGCGCAGGAGAAGGGAAGGTTTTGAAAGCAGTGCAGGAGACAACCCTGACCGCCCCCACTGCACTGCCTTTGGGGTATCTCTCCGACCTGCGCCCCACAGCAACCGCCCCCCCGCCCCCGTACCCCCAAACTCTTACATTTTCCAGCCACTGGTGACTGTTTACTGCCACCTGGGTCCCCAGGGGTTTGGTCAGGACCAGGACGTCTCCGGGAACAGCATTGTCGGGCCTGGAGGGATAAAAACAAAAACGAGAGAGAGAGAGAGAGAGGGGGTGAGGAATGGGGATCTGGGAGATTTGCCCCTTTCCCACAGGAACGCTCTCGTGCCGCCCGGGTCACTCACATGATGAACTCATTCGGTTGGCACACCACCGTGGCCACACCTCCGATGATGATCCAGGGGTTCACCACCGTCTGCCCCCCCGTCACCGAAGTACCACCTTCCTCGGCAGCATCCTTAAAGCCTCTGATCATCAGTGGGACCACCTTATCACGTTCCTGTCAGGGGGCGGGGGGGGCACAAATGGACAGGGGGCAGTCAGAGCGAGATACCGGCCCCATACAGCCATTCACCCCCTCCAG